TCTTTTCCCTTCATTTTTTCCCTCCTTTTCCCTGAGATATTAATTTTTTCCTGTTTGAATAGATTCTTATCCTTTCACAGTATTTAGTGAGGATTTTGTATCTTATGTACTCTTACCATTTCTTACACTAGGGAGACAATATAGTATTTACACATGTGAGTTTGATTTATTTCACCTATGAGTATAGTTTCAAGTTGCATCCATTTACCCATAAAAATCTCAATATGACCATTCTTTATAGATGAGTAGTACTCCATTGTATAGAAGGACCATATCATTTTTATCCATTCCTCAGTTGATGGACATTTAGATTGTTTCCAAGTTATGGATATTACAAATTGTGCGGCTATAAACATGGGTGTACATATATCACTGTGATATGGTGTTTTCAATTCTTCTGGGAATATGCCCAGAAGTGGAATGGAGGAAATTATGAAGATAAGAGCAGAAATTAAAACACTGGAGACTAAAAGAGCAAAACAGGATCAATGAGCCAAAGAGTAGGTTGCTTGAAAGATTAAATAAAATTGACAAACCCTTACCCAACCTTATGAAAAAAAAAAAACAAAAGACTCAAATCCACAGAGCTAAGAATGAAAAGGGTGAAATCACAACAGACCCAGCAGAAATCCGAAGATCATCTATACCTACTTTAAAAACTTGTATTTTAACAAGATAGAAAATACAGAGGAAATGGACAGATTCCTAGATACATATGAATTACCAAATCTGAATCAAGACGATACAAAAATCTTAAATAAACCAATATCATTCAGTGAAACTGAAGATATAATTAAAAACCTATTAGCCCTGATGGATTGACCGTTGGATTCTATAAGAAATTTAGAAAAGACCTAACACCACTACTTCTCAAACTCTTTAATGAAATTGAAAGGAAATCAATTCTTCCAAATTCATTCCTGGAAGCAAGCATTACCCTGATACCAAAATCTGAGAAAGACCCAACTAAGAAAGAGAACTACAGGCCAATCTCCCTAATGAACATAGATGCAAAAATCCTCCATATCATATACTGGCAAACATTGCAGAAAATCATCAAGAAGATTGTACACCATGACCTAGCAGGAATCATCCCAGGGATGCAGGGATGGCTCAACATACATAAATCCATAAATGTAATACATCATATTTTTAAAACCAAGGACAAAAATCATATGATCATCTCAATAGATACTGAAAAAGTTTTTGACAAAGTCCAGCACCCATTCATGATAAAAACTCTACATAATATTGTAATAGATGGTCTCTATCTCAATCTGATAAAAGCCATCTGTGACAAAGCAACAGCCAGCATCATACTAAGTGGACAAAAACTGAAGGCTTTCATTCTAAAATCAAGAACAAGACAAGGATGTCCAACGTCTCCCCTCTTATTCAACATAGGCCTTGAAACCTTAGCTGAAGTAATTATACAAGATAAAGAAACAAAGATAGGAAAGAAAAAACTTAAATTATTATTTGTCTATGGCATGATACTTACTTAGAATAACTCAAAAATTCCATCAAAAGACTTCTAGATTTAATAAGCAAATTCAGTAATGTAGCTGGTTACAAAGTCAACACTCAAAAATCAATACCTGTCCTGTACACAAAAAACAAACTCACTGAGAGAGAAATCAGTGAAAATATATCTTTTCAATAGCATCCAAAAACTGAAATACTTAGGAATCAATCTATCAAAGGATGTAAAAGACCTCTAAATTGAAAACTACAATAGTCTGAAAAATGAGATGGAAGAAGATATTAGAAAATGGAGAGAGATCCCGTGATCTTGGGTAGGAAGAAGCAATATAGTGAAAATAGCCATACTCCCAAAACTGTATTACAGATTCAGTATAATTCCAATCAAAATTCCGATAGCATGTCTCACAGAATTAGAGAAAACAATCCTAAAATTCATCTGGAACCAGAAGAGACCTAGAATAGCAAAGGCAATCCTGGGCAACAAAGACGAGACAGGAAGCATCAAAATTTCTGACTTGAAATTATACTATAAAGATACTGTGATTAAAAAAATAGTGTAGTACTGGCAAAAAAAAGCAGTTCAGTAGAAGATTCAGAAACAACTCCAAGCACACTAAGTCACTTTATCTTTGGTAAAGGTGCCAAACACAGTCACTGGAAGAAAGATAGCCTCTTTAATAAATGGTGCTGGAAAAACTGGCTTTGCACATGCTGATGATTAAAACTAGACCCATATCTTCCACCTTGTACTAAGCCAAAATTGGAGTGGATCCAAGATCTTAATATTAGAACAGAAACATTAAATCTGCTGGAAGATAGAATAACTAAAACTCTTGAAGATATTGTTGTAGGCAAATATTTTATGAACAAAACCTGGATTTTACAGGAAGTATCACAAAAAGCAACAACTGGTATCTCACTCTACCTCCTGAAAAGCTTTTGCACAGCAACAGAAACCACCAACAGAGTGAAGAGACAACCCAAAATGTGGGAGAAAATATTTTACAGCTGTTTGTCAAAGGATTACTATCCAAAACATAGAGAACTCCAAAAAATCACTCCTCCCAGATTTATGGCCTTCCAGAGATTAATCCACACTTTTCAGAGGAATAAATACAATATGTGAAAAATTGTTCAACATCAGGGGTCATTTGAGAGATGCAAAATTAAAACATCACTGCAATTTCACTCACCCCAGAAAGAATGACCCCTATCAAGAAATAAGCAATTACAAATGCTGGGGGAGTCGTAGGGGAAAACGAACCCTTCTCCACTCTTGGGAGCAATGCAGTTTGGTGCAACTGCTGTGGAAATTACTATGGAGATTCCTTAAAAAACTAGGACTAGAGGTTCTATTCAACCTAGCTATTCCCCTTCTGGATATCTTCCCAAAAGAATTAAAAACTCTATACCACAGTAATATATGTGCACTCTTATTTATTGCAGCACAATTTGTAATATCCAAGTCTTGGAAACAACATAAATGCCCATCAGCTAATGGATGTGGTATTTTTCTGTAGTGGAGTAGTACTCAGCCATAAAGAAGGATAAGCTGGAGACTTTTATAGGTAAATGGATGCAACTTGATTCCATACTCACTATTGAGATAAATAAGTCACACATGTGTAAATGTCATATTGTATCAATGTGAGAAATTAAAAGAAAATCATATGTATATGTGTATAAGTATGTATATGTATACAAAAAATAGTTAAGATAGTTATACTACTGATTTCTTAGCATTCACTGAAGAGAAAGATTTGTTCTGCTACTGCTCCAACAACTGAATGTAGATGTCTTGTGCTCTGGATGAATGATTTAGGGATGACAATGCTTAATATATGTACCATTTTTGCACCCTGGGAAAAAAAAGTTTAAGCCTTCTGAGAAGGCATAGCCAGCTGTTTGATGTGATTTTAGAGATCAAAAACCCCATCTCTCCCTCCTGAAAAATTCATTCTTTGTGTATTATTTTGTATGTTTGTTTCATTGATTGATTGATTGATTGATTGATTTTTACACAGTGCCTCACTATGTTGTCCTGGCTGGTCTCAAACTTGTGAGCTCAAGCAATCCTCGCACCTTGCCCTCCTAAGTAGCTAGACTACAGGTACACACCACTCCCCTGTAGTTTCTGTTTCTAAATCAATCTTATCATTAGGTACACATCTCCCTCTAAAGGATAATTCTTTGGTTTTCATCAGCCAAACCTTTCCAGGAAAATTGACAGCTGTCTGAGAAATGATGTCTTTATTCTACCAAGTGTCCTTAGTCTACCATCAAAAACATATAACCAAATGTACAAATGTTTGTGTCCAAAATGAAAGAAGCAGTTTGCTTTAAGATAAGAAAGCTGAATTAAATCCAGTTCCTTGTTCCCATGCTTTCTGCCTATGTTCGTCAAACTTATCTCATAACAAGAATGACCAAGCACACCTGCCAAAAAGGCAAAGTCCTAGGTCCCTACTAGATCTGCCTATCTAGAAGTTTTAGACAGGCACCTAAGGATCTGTATTTTTATAGCACTCTGGAAACTTGGATCATCATTCCCATTTTAAAATTGCTGGTTTCCTCCCTCTTTCTCTGCCTATTAAGAGATCTCTCCCTACCTCCTCAGATTTGGGTATGTAGGGAAGCTTGAGCCCCAATAAGCAGCATATCAAGCCACTTCCCTTTCTGGGTCCTTATTGTCATTTAGAAAATTGAAGTGCTCTACTAGTAGATCACTTGATAATACAGTTTACCATTTCCATTTGGCAGCGTGGGGTCTGAAAATTTATTGTCACAATAGCGTCCACAATTTTTGGAAGGTTTTTTTCAATCAACCACTTTAAATTTCCAGGTGAGTCCGCAATGCAAAAGAGAAGTAAAGGCTCCGAGTCTCTGTGTGTATCTAGGTAACACTTGGGCAAAGGCCAGCAGAAGTCCTGGGGCTGGGAACTTCCAGAAAGTGCTAGCCACCTCCTTCACCCAACTGTCATGCCAACCACATTTTCAAATAGTAATCCCTACAGAGACTTCTACATCCAACCCTGCCACCCTGTAGAACTTATCAGCCCTAGGACCATGGGCAGTGGGCTACTTCCCATCACAGGTAGTCAGCTTCGAAGCCTGGACTTTCTTGTAACTTTCTATGGTCCCCTAGATGCGCCATTTTCTACTCCTGCTCTCCCCAAACATCTCACCCTCTGCACCCCACCCTCACCCCACCCCTACCACTCACCCCCCCACCACTCACCCCCACCCCCACACACATGCATTCCAGTTGCCTATAGCCTGCTCCTTCCTTCCCTACCCCATCCCCACAAAACCCTCTGCTCAGTCCCCTGTCCCCACCTCAGGAATCTCCTTTTCCGCTCCGCCTGCCCACTTTTTCCTACTCAGGACCTTCCCCCACTGCCCAGAGTCTCTCCCTACACCCAGCGGCTCTGTCAATCCCGAGGTCTCCCCACCAGCAGAATCTACTAGTGCTTAGTACCCATTTTCCCTCTGGGGTGTCTCCCATGTGCTCGCAGGGCCTGCCCAGCCCTCTCCTGCGCTGCCCGTCCCAGCGACTCCTAGACCGCGTGGTCCGGCGCTATGCTGAGGTGGCCGACGCTGGCAGCATCTTCATGGACCACTTCACCGAACGCGACAAGCTGCGTCTGCTCTACACGCTGGCTATTAACACGCACCCCATCCTCCTACAGGTACGGAGACTCCACAGGCCCTTCAGGCTGAGGGCTGGTCAACGATGCCCAGGGGTGGGCCCCAGGTCGATGTCTGTTTCCCTCTTTACTGTACACATTGGAGCTCCTGGCTTGTGGTGGGACCTTACTGCATTCAGTATTTGTTGGTTTCTGCAATGTGAAAGCACTATGGCTGCTGCAGAGGACAGGCTGGGAACATGGATGAGACGGGACCATAGCCACTTTTACTGCTTTTAAAAATATTTCTATTAGTATCTGTTTGCCAAACAAAATAAACATATTCATCTTGGGGAATTGACACTTTTGCATCTTAACCCTTTTTACTTCTCCTTCCTGCCCCTGTACTCCCTCCCATCTTCCCCATTCCCAGATCCTCTTCCCATCTCCCCAAAGTCTGTCTTCCTGTTTTCTATCATTTATCCTTTATTTTGTTCTTTAAATTACATTATACACTGAGTTTCTCATATGAGAAACCATGCAATATTTAACCTTCTGTGTCTAATTTATTTTCCTTAGCGTCATGGTCTGAAGATGCATCCATCATCCTACAAATGTCTCAAACTTATCCTTCTTTAAGACTGAATAGTACTCCACTGTGTATAAATACCATGTTTTACTTTATCCATTCATCTGTTGATGGACATGTAAGCTGAATCCAAGGTCTTTTTTAAGTTTTATTTAAAGAGAAAAAAACAAAACACAAAAAGGACAGAAATAATACAGAATTTCAAAAAACAGTAAAAAATCACTAGTTGATAAGTTACACATTGCGTGGAGCAGTGTTCCTTTTTCCCTACAGCCTTGCCAACATTTCTCAGTTGATTTCTTGATCGTAGCCATTCTTTCCAGAGTGAGATAAAATCTCAATGCTGTTTTTATTTGCATTTCTCAAATGACCAGTGATGGTGAATATTTCATGTATTTATTTGCCATTTGTATATCTTCATCTGAGAACTGTGTGTTCATCTCAGATGCCCATTTTTGGAGAGGGTCTTTCAATTTGGGGGGCTTGATGTTTTTCAGTTCTTTGTATGTTCTGAATATAAGTCCTTTCTCTGAGGGGATGCTGGCTAAAATTCTTTCTCATTCTGTGGGTTTTCTTTTCATTCTGTTGGTGATTTCTTTTAAAGTGCAAAAACTTTTCAATAATATGAGATCCCAGTCGTTGGTTCTTTGAAGTGTTTCCCATGCAGTTCCTGTTTTGTTCATAAATTCTCTGCCTATTCCTATGTCTCCAAGATTTTTACCTACCTTGTGTTCCAGTAGATCTAGTGTTTCTGTTTTAATATTTAGGTCTTTGACCCATTTAGATTTTAGTTTTGTGCATGGTGATAGGCATGGGTCTAATTTCAGTCTTCAGTGTGTGGAGAGTCAATTTTTCCAACACCACTTATTAAACAAGCTATCCGTCTTCCAGTGAACATGTTTAGCACCTTTGTCAAATATCAGGTGGCTGAGTGTCTTTATAGTTGTGTTTGAAACTTTTAATCTGTTCCATTGATCCTTAGGTCTATTTCTTTGCTAGTACCATGCTGATTTTATCACTGTGGCTTTGTAGTATAGTTTAAGGCAGGAATTGAGATGCCTCCTGCCTTGCCTTCGTTGCCCAGAATTTCCTTTGCTATTCTAAGTTTCTTCTGTTTCCAAATGAATTCTAAGAGTATTTTCTCTAGATCTGTGAAATATGTTAATAGTATTTTGATTGGGATTGTGTTAAATCTGTATAACAGTTTTGACAGTATGGCCATTTTCACAATGTTTGTTCCTCCTAGCCAAGGGCAACAAATATGCTTCTATTTTCTAATATCCTCTTCAATCTCCTTTTATATCATAGCATAATTTTCAGCATATAGATCTTTTACATTCTTACTTAGGTTGATTCCTAAATGTTTCATTTTTTAGATGTTATTGTGAAGGGCAATGTTTCCACAATTTCTCTCTCAGTGAGAAATTATGTACAGAAATGCTATTGATTTTTTAGCATTTGTACAGGAATGCTATTGATTTTTGAGCATTGACTTTGTATCCAGCTACACTGCTGAATTTTTTTATTATCTCTAGTAGTCTTTTAATGGAGTTTTTTGAGTTTTCTATATAAAATATCATGTCACCTGCAAATAATGATAATGTAACTTCTTCTTTTCCTATCTTTATTCCTTTTATTTCTCTCTCTTGTCTGATTGCCCGGCTAATGTTTCCAGAACTATATTGAATAGGCGTGGTGATAGTGGACATTCTTGTCTTGTTCCTGATTTTAAAGTGAAAGTTTTCAGTTTTTGTCCATTTAGTATAATGTTGGCTGTTGGTTTGTCATAGATGGCCTTTATAAGATTGAGGTAGACACCATGTGTTCTGAGTTTCTGAAGAGTTTTTATTATGAACATGTGTTGGTCTTTATCAAAAGCTTTTTCTACATCTATTGGGATGACCATGTGGTTTTTGTTTTTGGCTCTGTTGATGTGGTGTATTACATTTATTTATTCGCATATGTTAAACCATCCTTGCATTCCTGGAATGAATCCCACTTGGTCATGATGTATAATCTTCTTGATGATTTGCTACATTCTATTTGCCAGTATTTTATTGAGAATCCTTGCATCAGTGTTCATTAGTGAGTTTGGCTTAAGTTCTCCTTTTTGGTTGGGTTTTTCTCTGGTTTTGGTATCAGAGTAATACTTGCTTCCAGGAATAATTTAGGGAGGATTGCTTCCTTTTCAATTTCATTGAAGAGTTCAAAGAGTATTGGCATCAAATCTTCTCTAAATTTCTTGTAGAATGAATCCATCAGGGCCTTGGCTTTTCTTTGTTGGTAAGTTTTTAATTACCTTTTCAATTTTAATAGGTGATATTGAGTTACTCAAAATTGCTATATCTTCTTGGTTGAGCTTTGGTAGTTCATATGTTTCTAGAAATCTGTCCATTTCCTCTGTGTTTTCCACTCTATGTGAGTAGAGATTTTCAAAATAGGTATTCATGATCTTTTGAATTTCCTTGGGATCTGTAGTAATTTCCCTTTTCTCAGTCCTTGTTGAGTGAATTTGGATTTTTCTTTCTTTTTCTTGATAAGGTTAGCTAGAGATTTGTCAATTTTTTTATTCTCTCAAAAAACCAGGTTTTGATTCATTAATTCTTTGTATTTTTTAGTTTAAATTGCATTGATTTCTGCTTTAAACTTTATAATTTCTTCTTTTCTACAAACTTTGGGTTTAACTTGCTCTTCCTTTTCTAGAAGCTTGAGATGAACCATTGGGTTATTTGTGTTCATTCTGTTTTCTTGATATGACAATTTATTGCTGTATATTTCCCTCTTAAGACCACTTTCATTTCATCACACAGGTTACAGTATGTTGTTTCCACATTTTCATTCAATTATAGGTATTGCTTTATTTCTTCTTTAATTTCATCTGTAGCGCACTGGTTGTTCAAAAGATTGTTATTTAATTTCCTTGTATTTATGTAGGTTTTGCAATTTTTGCCATTAATTTCCAATTTCAGTGCACTATGGTCAGATAGTACACATGGGATAATTTCAACACCTTTTCAGTTACTTAAAAATGTTTTATGGGATAATATATGTTCTATTTTGGAGAATGTCCCATGTGCAGCTGAGAAGAATGTGTATTCTGATGTGGTTGGGTAAACATCTACTAAGTCCAATTGCTCACAAGTATGATTCAGTTCTATTATTTCTTTGGTGACTTTTTGTCTAGTTGATCTATCTCTTTGTGACAGTGGACTGTTAAGGTCCCCTGTTATAATTGTGTTCTTCTGTACTTGGCTTTTCATGTCTATTAGTATCTGTCTCATATAGTTGGGTGCTCCTGTATTTGATGCATATATAATTGTTAGTTCCTCTTGAATTTCTCCACTAATGAGTATGTAGTGACCTTCTTTGTCTCTTTTGATCATTTTAGGTTTGAGGTTCACATTGTCTGCAAATAGAACAGTTACCCCTGCTTTTTTCTGGGTTCCTGTGGCATGTAGTACTGTTTTTCATACTTTGACTTTTAATCTATGAGTTTTCTTTTAGGTCAGATGTGTTTCTTGTATACAGCATATTGTGGGATCATGTTTCTTGATCCACTCTGTCAATGTATTTCTTTTGATAGGTGAATTGAGGCCATTTATATTTGTGGTTATCACTGATATGTTATGGCTTGACTTTGCCATGTTATGTACCAGTTGTTTGCTTTCTGCTTTTCCCTCTTGTTTAATTGTTTGTCCTACCTGGTGGTTTCTTTTCATTGTTGTTCTGGAGATTGTGGTCATTTTTATCTCTATCCAGTATGTCTTTCAATACTCTTTCTAGAGTTGGCCTTGTGGACATGAATTTCTTCAGTTGTTCTTGTCATGGAAGTGTCTTGTTTCTCCATTAAATTTGAAAGACAGTTTTTCTGGGTACATCAATCTGGGTTGAAAGTTGTTTTCTTTCAGGGATTAAAATACCTCACTCCAGGCTCATGTTGGGTTTTGGTGAAAAGTCTGCTGTGATTCTAATGGGCTCTCCTTGATAGGTGAGTTGTATCTTTTCTCTAACAGCTTTTAGTATTCTGTTTTTATGTTGTATGTCTGGGATCTTCATTATTATATGTCTGGGTATAGATTTATAATGGTTGTGATTGTTTGGCATTCTATATTCCTGATTTATCTGCATATTGGATTTTTTCCCCATGTTTTGGAATTTTCTGCTATTGCTTCTGTGAATATTTTAGTTACGTCATTTGCATTGAGTTCTGCATCTTCACTGATAACTCTTAATCTTACATTGTTTCTCTTGGCATCATCTTGAAGCTTCTGGATTGCAATTTCATGCTGCTTTGTTAGTTTTAAAAGTTCTATCCTTTCATGATCACTAATAGTGACCCTGTGATTCAGGTCAAAAACCTATCCTCAGCTTCATTTAAACGGTTTTGCCAGCTTTGAATAGAATTTTTTGTTTCTTGGATGTCTCTCTGAGTTTGTGTCTTGAATTCTGCTTATTTTCTATATTGTTCATTCAAGGTTTCAATCAGTTTCCCATGCTCCTGTATTGTTTTCTCTATTTCTTCTCTAGCTGCGCTGAGCAGCTCCTTTACTAAGGTTGTCATTTCTGTCATTACATGAGAGATTACTTTTAATTTGATTCCTTCTATAGCCTCATGGAGTTATTGTTTTATTTCACTTGCTATCTTTTCAGACATTTCCAGTGTGTTACTTTTGAAGTCCTCTATTTCAGTGTCTCCTCTACTTGCTCCTAGTGGACTAGATGTTTAGGATTGCACTGTGCTTATTCATTTTGCCATTTTCCCCTTTTGAGTTTGAGTTAATATTTGGTCCTTCAATCCCACTAGTGCCAACTGTTGGTAGTGGGTACTTTGGGGTTCTACTGTAAAGATGATGTTTGTCCAAATGCTGGGTCCCACAATGAAAAGGTGGTCCAGTCACCTGACTTCCCCCTGCAGGGCCTGTTGGGTGAGTCCTATATTCTTCCTGGGCTGACAAGCCTAGTAGCATTGATGTAGGTCAACTTTTTGTTCCTGCTGTTACTTTATCTTCAGTTTATTCCAGGTTGCCAAATCTCCCTGTCTGTAGTTTTGGGTTGGCTGAGACCCTACTGTGTCCCTACTGTGTGCCTGTGTGTCTTATAAGCCCTTTTGATTTTCTCCAAGTTGGGAGAGTCTTTATTGGCACACTCCCCACCCTGCCTGATAGTCTCTGTGTGCAGGAAGGAGTTACCCACACTCTTTGGAGCCTGCTGAGATCTTCTGTTTGGATGAGGCAGTTATTGAATCTCCCTTCAAGGTAGCACAGTTAATCTGCTGTATTCCACGGTTCTGGGAGAAAGGGTGGGAGCTGAAGATCAACAGCAGTATTAGGTCCAGGAGGTAGGGAGGGTCCCCGAGGAACCAGCAGGTGTCCTGGGTCTGGGCATCCACCAGGCACCCTGGAAGCGTGATGCAGTGGCATAGGTGGTCTTGGGCCAAAGGGTAGGCAGGTGGTATCAATCTAGGCATCTGCGGTGTGTGCAGGAAGTATAGCACAGCAGCGTACACATTCCTGGGCCAAAGGGCAGGCGGGTCGCATCGGTCTGGATATTCACGGGGTGCATGGAAAGTGCAGTATGGTAGCATACGTGGTCCTGGGCTGACGGGCGGGCCAGTGGCATCAGTCCGGGCCTCTGCAGGGCACACAGGACGCACGGTGCAGCAGCATGCATGGTCCCAAGCCAGGAGGCAATCCAGTGGCGTCAGTCCGGGCATCCACGGGGTGGTACCTGCTTTTGAATTCCTATATGCTTTCACAGTTTTGTTCTGAGTGGATTCATTCTGTTTCATCCTGTTTGGTCCTATTCTCCTCCCCCCAAAATTCAAAAAGTTAGCAATAAACCAGTGGAGCTGCATCCTTAGGAAAATTTTTGAATGCGAAAAGTCAGGAAAAAAACTAACAAGCTGAAAAAAGGAAAACTGCCATGCCAATGCATTCTAGCCTTTCAAATCCTTGATTTAATGACAAATCTTCCCAAAGACATTGAAAAGTGCCCAAGTCCAGGACTTCAGTCAATGAAGAAGGCAAATGTGCGAGAACTTGGTGGTGATTTCACACACTTAGTGAAATTATAACTTCAACTGGTTGTTGAAGTTGTAGGGCGAATGCCAGGAGAAGCACAGGAACATAGTGATTGGAGCCTGCTGACGTCTTCGGTTTGGGTGAGAGGCCACTGAATCTCCCTTCAACTCAGCATGGTTAATCCACTGCAGTTCAAGGTTCTGGGAGGAGGTGTGGGAGTCAAAGACCAAGTACTTGGTCTAGGAGATGGGGAGGGTTCCCGAGGGCAGCAGCCATTGGTGCAGTGTTCCTCCAAGCTGGTGGGAGTCACAAAAGAAGCCTGGTAGCATGGACACAAGGTCAAAGGGCAGCACAGCTTTCTCAGGGCTGGCAGGGGTCATGCAGGAAGCACACAGCGGCACAGGCACCTGCTTCCAAGTTTTAGCTATTATAAATTGTGCTGCTATAAATATGGATATACATGCACTGTAATATGATGCCTTTAACTCTTTGGGGAAGATATTAGAAGGAAGATAGATGGGTCAAACATAGTTGCTTGTTTTTGTTTTTGTGGAATCTCCATACTGATTTCCACAGTGGTTATACCAGTTTACACTCCCACCAACAATATTGAAAGCTTTGCCTTCACTCTTGGAGGTAGTTGAAGGGCTTTGTGAAGGAAGGTAACTTTGAGCAGTGCCTCAAATATCAGATTTCAACACACTCAGGAGATGGAAAGGTAGCCAAAGAATGACTCACCCTGGGATGAGCCCTGCAGCTATGCTTGGAAAGGAGAAAGAAAAAGAAGTAACCTAAATGTCCATCAATAGGGGAATGGTCAAATCAGTGAGTGTTTGTGAAGGTGTGGTGGTCTTGTCTTCAGTCAACTTCCACTCCAGTGGCAGAGACAGATGTTTACCATGCAAACATCTGTGTAAGATGAGAACCCAATTCTCCTGACCCCAAAGTTCAGGACACAGAGATTACATAATGGACACAAAGGAAACTATGAAGTGGAAGGGAGACATAGGAAACAGAAAAAGGAGGAGAGAAAGGAGAGGGAGAGGAAGAAGAGGCAGAAGGAAAGAGGGAATGGGGGAAAGATGCAGGAAGAGGAAAAAGGAGCCACCAAAGGATATAAATATTGGCCCAAGGGATGACATCTGAATACATAACCAATGACACTTCTCTTTTATTGAGCACCAACTGCATGTCAGGTATGTGTTGAGTGTCATACCATTATGCCAGCTAATGCTCACAGTGACCCCCTGGGAATAATGAAATGACTTGGCAGAGTCACTTAACCTGTGTCATAGATGGAACCCAAACCCAGAACTGTTGGATGTCTGAGGCTATGCTGTACACACAAAGTCCTGCCTGGTAACACTGACATTTGCAATATTAGCAGCAGAGAAGGAATCGCTCTTCTCTGCATTCACAGAGGTCTTTTCCCAGTTGTTCTAACTTTGGTTGATAGCAGTAGACCATGGCTACAACTCCTGAGAGTCCTGGACTAGGACTGGGGGACTGAGATAATATACTCAATCCTGGGAACCACCTATAAAGAACATAGTGTACAGCTGTTGCCCATCTGTCTGTCTGTCTGTTTGTTTGTTTTTGTGGTACTGGATTGAACCTGGGCCTTTCCTCTGAGATTCATCCTCAGCTTATTTGATTGACTGATTGATTGATTGATTGATTGATTGACTGACTGACTGATTTTGAGACAGGGTTTCACCAAACTGCTAAGTTACCCAGGCTGTGCTGGAACTTGCAATCTTCCTGCCTCGGGTTTCAAGAGTGCTGAAATAGCAGGCATGTACCGCCACACTTAGCTGCACATTTAGACAGTGACAGCAGGCCTCTGATCTCCCATCAAGGTACATAACAAGAAAGGTTCCCCTCTGTTAGGGAAAACTCAAAAAGCAAATGGGCATGGGTTCTTCACAATGGGAATCAAAATGGACAGAAGGCCACAGAAAATTATCAAAGAAAGATGACTATTTTATTTTGTTTTCACAGTGTTGGGAATGGAACCCAGGGCCTTTTTCATGCTAGGCAAGCAGTCTACCACTGAACTACCCTCAGCCCAATTTTATTTCTATAAGAAGGAGAACCAAGGAAAGAGTGTCGGGTATTTACAGTTTTTGTTATTTTCTCTGTAGTTGAAAGAAACCATACTAGATACAACTGCTTTAATCATTGGTCAAGAAAAGACCAGCCAGGATTCCCTACCGTTTTTTCCGCATCTCAAACTGGCAAGTTTGGAGGTCTGACAAGGAGTCAGGCCAGTCTATGTTCCCCTAAGCCAGCAGAGTTAACCTTCTGGAAGGTTCTGATCAGTTGAGGAACCTCTGTGAATATGTAGTTTCCCCAACCAGACAGATCTGCCCAAGGGAGGCAGGAGAAAGATTTAGAGATTTAGAATCTTAAATTATATGAGGGCCATCTTCATGATTTTTGTCCTATCCAAGAACCAAGAAACTGCACTGCTATTTTAATGTTTTGGGGTTTTTTGTTTTGCTTTGCTTCTGGAGACTGGAAGAGAGGACTCACCAGACTGCTCAGACTAGTCAAGGGATCCTTCTGTCTCAGTCTCCTGAATAGCTGGGACTATAGGCATAAGCCTCTGCACCCACATTGCACTATTAAAGAATAATAGTATATATTATTCTTTATTAATAGTATATATTATTCTTATTAATAGTATAAATATATTTTTCTTTCAATCAGTCTTTCTCTTAGCTTCTTCCTAAGCAGTGATAGCTATGAAATCTCAAAGACTTGTCCTATATTTTTCAATGGTATGACACTTAAACATACTCCCCTGAAGCCTAAATATCATTGAAAGGTATAGTAGGTCCATTAACATTTTCATACCCTTCTTGAAAATGTTGAAAGATACAACCAAAATGAGAGCAGCCTCCTTCCTGAATCTTTCCATCCACACAATAAAATTGGGGGAGTAGGGTATTGCCATGTCCCGTGAGACATAATAAATTAGAAGAGACACTTTCCCAATGGTTTTTGAAACCAAGGATGCCTGTGAAGGTTGACTTCCCTGTACGCATTCCATGAGAGGCAGAGCAAGAGCTGTCTCCATGAGATTTTTCTCATACATTTGCTAACGCTTGCTCTTTGGCCTGACAGATCTTCCCTGGAGCGGAGGGCTGGCCACTGCCCAAGTACCTGGGTTCCTGTGGCAGACTCCTCATCAGTACCAGCACCAGACCACTGCAGGAATTCTATGACTCACCCCCAGACCGGGCAGCTGACCTCGCCTACCAGCTCCTTGGTGTCCTGGAGTCCCTGAGGAGCAACGATTTGAACTATTTCTTCTACTTCACCCATGTTGATGCAAACATGTTTGGCATCTTTAACAATGGGCATCTGTTCATCCGGGATGCCAGCACTCTGGGCGTCATCGACAAGCAGGAAGGTACCCAGCATGGGCCTGGCTCAGCAGTCAAGGGGAATGTCAGGGTGACAGCAGCTAAGGAGGAGTGGCCTGAGGTCACACTATTGGGCTTTTTCAGTCTCTGTATGTCACAGTGAGAACAACTCAAGTTCAGGAAGTGTTCAATGTCCTTTAAAATGTCCCTCATCCCGTTCTAAATTTCTGCTCCAGCTCCAACTCCAAAGGGGAAGAGAATTTGTCCTTGTCCACAAGGGGCATTGTCTGTGGTGGCTCATCCCCACCTGTACCCTCCCAGGGCAGTTGGCCTGGGTCTATGTGGTCTAGGAACCTTCTCTGGTACTGCTCACACACACAACTCCTGGCTCATCTCTCCCTCCGAATCTTTCTTATCCAATACTTTTAGCTTTGACCTAAAACTTAAATACCTGGCTGATTTACTGGTACATTTTACAATACATGTTGGCACATTTGCTTTACATAAAATTTTCAAATTAAAAAATATGGAACCCAATGAGATACATGACTCAATCATGTTTCTCACTGTGTGCTAAAGCTAATCCAGCATTTAGACCCTTTAAAATCCCCATTTCTCATGGTGGTCAAATTTTGAAGCTCAATAATAGGGCAAATGATTTTCTTTCTGATTTCATTTATATTAAGGAAATCCACAAAGACAGAAAAATTAAGCCACACTTACTCATTTACCGATTTGCCTTTATTAAGATGAATCAATTAAGAAAAAACAGGCTGATTCCAGAATATTCAGTCTACATAAATCACTGAATATTACTTCCATACCAACCTGCTAAATGTATATTCTGGATTGCCTGTTATTTTTCCTGAGTTTATGCTTTAAAAGAGAAAACAAATCCAGTCCTAATAATTTCCTAAGTTCCCTAATTTAGTAATTATTGGAGAATAGCAATATCAATATGACTCATATAACTATATCCTGGCTTCTGATAGGAATAAGTGAATTTTCCAAGTTCAGGGCTCAACTTCTTATAGCAGAAAGTTCTTTCCATGGTGCTGTCAGAAGGAACCATTGTGCCCTTGGATCCTTAATCTCCTGGTGACAGGGAAGTATGAGGAAACCAATCTGCTTCCCCCAGCAAGGCTAGTTAGTGGTGCCTTCTCCCAAGGAGAGCAGTGTGTGGGGTGTGTGATCTTTTCCTTTTTTTTTTTCCAGGCAGCCAAACAGCCACCAGGACCAGAGAGAACCAAGACATTTTTAGCTGCCTGGTTTCTGGCTGCCAGACTCAGCTGCCTTCCTGTGACACCATCTCTGAGAAACATAGCCTGGTGCTGGTGTGTCAGCAGTTGCTACCTCTACTTCTCCAGGGGAAGTTCCCCTCCCCGGTGCAAGAGGAGATAGACTTAGCACTCACTCACTGTGGTGAGAGCTCCCGTCCGGACCCAGAGGTCCTCCAGGCTGCCAGCCAACTGAAGGACATTTTGAGACCCCTGAGAACCTGTGACCCGAGATTTGCCTACCGCTATCCAGACTGCAAGTACGATGATAGGTTCTGAGGATCTGGAGCCCTAGCTGACCCAAAAGGACAATGCCCTTTAGCCTTTCTCCCCCCACCCCCACCCACTGGGTTGTTGCCAGTTTCAGAGCAGCAGCTCCACTACAAACATCAAAAGAAACATAATTGATTTTTCAGGGACTGAGGAACACTTGAACTAGGGAGGAAAATTGTGCGACATTATATGATTGCCCCAATTGGCTCGGAACACCATGGCAGAGCCTGAGGGTGGGCATCAGAAGACCCTGAGTGGACACTCACGTGATGTCTTTGAGCCTCCTTTTTTCCCTTGATTGCTACCAGATTCTCGATGATGATGAAAGAAGAGAGAAATTCGAGGGGCCTGGGACACATGATCTCCACACCCTGCTGAAATAGGAGACACCTCAGGGTGCAGGAAAAAGTCAGAGCTAAGAGAAGAGTCAGTATATGGGCCAGGTTGTTAGTCCAGGTGGCTAAGTGGGTGTCAAGCAAGGAGTGCACAAGTGAGAATGTTCTTAGGGGAAATGCCTGTGAGAAAGACAAAAAGCAGGCCAGAAAAGGCTCAGAGGACTGCCATGTCATGCTGCAATCTGATCCCAGGGAAGGAGAGGAAGCCAGGGAAAGGGTTGCCAAGGGGTCTTCAAGGCAAAGCCAGCCTCCAGACAGGTCCTTTGGCATCCCAACTGTACAGAACAGGCTTTCAAAGATGTGGCCTTAGAAAGACCAATTCCAGAGCCCAGCCCTTTGGGCACAGAGGCAGAACATCTCACTGTAGCCACAGCTGGGCACCAGGGCTCAGGTCTGTCCACATCATGCCCTCCAATGCACAACTCCCTAGAATCTATGAGAATTTTCATTCAAATTTGGCCTCACAGATCAGTGTAAAACTATTTTCTCAAGGTCAGTTAATAGAATATATTCTACTCAATGGTTAGTTTGCATTATACACTCTAAATTAAATATTTGGCCACACAGAGTATACACCTCTATGCACACTCTTATCAGCAACATGAGCAGTAGTGGGGGTCTTCTTCTAGGTCTTTGTTCAGCCTCCTCACCAACCCCTACCTCCAGGAACCTTTCAGTCTACCTCCTCTTTTCTACCTCTGAATCAGTACCTGTAAGGTCAAAACACTGGTTTAACCAGCACATGGGGAAACGGATGCCAAGGAGGAAGAGTAATTTGCTAGGATAGTCCAAGAACTCACACTACCAGCCCATGCTCTTCTTTTCTTCTCCATCAGCCTCTGACTCTTACCCTCTGCTATCCAGTTCTAGTTTCCTGACTCACATTTAAAGGTAGACCCCCTCCCCTACAAAAAAGTCCTGTTTTGTGGTGTACTGGGTTGCCTTTTGATTACTCCAGATGCTGTTCCATGACAATGAGGATGACAGGCCAATCATTGCAATGGGTGTCTCTCGGATTGGTCCTGAGACTGAAGTCTGACCACACTTTTCACCTCCTCCCTCTGACCTGAATGCAGTGTGTCCTCTGTCCTTCCAGCTGGCCACAGCCTCTAGACCCTGTGGACCCTACAGAGGAATAAGGGTTGCCACAGAGACCTGCAATTTGTAAGCCAGGCCGTAGTGTATTTCTGTAGGTTCAGGAGTTCTTCCCGTGCAAGATGCTTCCATATGATTAGTGACTTTAAGTGAGGTCCCCAGGGAGTCCAGAAAATGGCCCTTTTGTGGGGCTTGAGCCAACCTCCTCTAAACCCTCACTTGCATAGACCTCCAGACCCGAGACACTGAAGAATGTTCTTTCAAAATCATCGTGTAACCTGGAGCTGCTGAACCTGGACAGAAAAAGCAGCTCCAGGCCCCTCCTGAATCAGAACAAAGAGAACTTATTCCCTACTTGACAGAGTCCTGGGAGAGAGCAAAGAAGGGAACCACCCAAGCAGCCCTCAGGGGGCTGCTGGGAGATTTGTTTTTAGTAGAAATTATAATCAAATTCTGTATTTGTGCAGCTGTGGTCACATCCGCAGTGCAGGCCAAGAATTAAAGAAGGGCAGATAGATGTCAAGCAGGGCCCACATATGCCTAGAAATGGTTCCCCAGCTAGTGGCTTTTCATGGGATCCAGAGGTCACAGAGTCCTTTTTCTCATAAGCTTTCATGTCAGAGCAGATGTTTCTCTTGTCAGCATGGCTAAACATCATAGGCCCCATTGAGGTGCTGTCTTCAAGGGACATTCTCCCCAAACCATTCCATCTGCTGACCCCCTCTGCTACTCCCTCTGTGTGGGGGACCCACAGCGGAGCTGCCCAAGTCCCTCTTTAAGTAACAACTCTCTCTCCAGCATGAGACTATGGTCAGTGGGCAGCTTTAGCTATCAGCTCCTTTAGCCTCTGTCCCAGCCATTCTATAGCTTGGTTCAAGGTCACATACTTCCTAGGACCTTATCTAGTGACTGGGTCTGGCCGGGGGATGTTTGGCTAACCAAGCTACAACTCTGGCAAGCAGTTCTCATTTCATAAATTTCTGTTAAGCCAATCAGAACTCTCCTTGTCCTGTACCACAGTCTCATTTTCCCTGCCCATCCTACTTCCTCTGCATTCTTCTTACAGGTGTTGTAAGAAGGGTTACAGATCCCCCTTAAATATATTGCACCATGTAGTTAGCTGAAAGGTCACCTCTCCCAAGAAAGACATGTCCAAATCCTAATCCCCAGAACCTGCAGTGATTACCTAACAAGGAAAAATGTGTAACTAATTTAAGGATTAGAAGAGAACGAGTTTGTCTTGGGTAGAGCAGGTAGACCTTGAATGCCATCTCATGTATCCTTACAAGAGAGAGGCAGAGGGAATTTGAAGACAGAAGAGGAGTGATGTAAAGATGGAGACCAAGACTGGGCCACAAGCCTGGGAACCCAGGCAGCCCTTGGGAGACGCAAGGGACAAATGTCCTCCCAAGCCCCCAGGGGAGTATGGTCCTTCCAGCTGGATTTCACAACACTGATTTCAGCCCAGTGAAACTAACTTTAGGCTTCTGGCCTCCCAAACTGTGAGAAAATAAACTTCTATTGTTTTGAGCCACACACTTTGTAGTAATTTGTTATAGCACTCACAAGAAACTGGTACAAATCCCAGTGTCCATCTAATTACCTGCTTCCAGAGAACTCAACCTGCAACACTTCTCAACTCCAGTCTACTACATTTCATTCAAAAGCAAGGCCTGGCATGGGAAGAGGGGGTTGTGCATGATGCACCCATATCAGGGCTGAGTTTCTTTCCTGCATTGACAAGTATCCATGTGTCATTGAAGACCCTCTCTGGGTCCTACCCTAATCCTAAATTTTGCTTATCAGGTCAGCCCGCAGAGATTACATTCTGAATCTTTTCTTTGAATTCCTGGGCCACAGGTCAGTATCTCATTTGAAGCTAACCCCAAGAGTAATCCAGAAAGATCTATGTTCTACCCTCCCATCCAGATGGAAGCTTATCACATGTGTCACTTTTTGTTCCCACAGCAACACAGGGCAGGACACAAAGCAGATGTTAGGAAAATATTCTTTCTAAGGACAATAACTGTTCTTCAGCCCTTTTCACTTAACGCTGTTCACACACCATACTGGCCATGTGTAGGAAGGACAGAGCCACTTCCCCAGAAATAGTGTCTGCCTGTCACCAGCCAGGAAACATAAGTCAGAACTCCAGTGACTTCAGCCAGAAAAAAATTATTGTTATGTGTTCTCAGTTCCCTAGAATTTGACTGGAGGCATTAAAGTATTTTTCTTGTTTCTTTTCCAGTACAGTATTGGGGATTGAATCCATGGGCACTCCACCCCTAGGTCATATCCCCAGCCTTTTAAAAAAAAATTTGTTTACTTTGAAGCAGGGTCCTGTAAGTTGCTCAGTCTAGCCTCAAACTTGCAATCTTGCCTCAGCCTTCCAAATAGCCGAGATTATAGGCATGTGCCACTAAATCTGGCTTAGAGTTACTTTTCTTTCTTTCTTTCTTTCTTTCTTTCTTTCTTTCTTTCTTTCTTTCTTTCTTCTTTCTTTCACTTCTCTCTTTCTCTATCTCTTTCTATCTCTGTCTCTCTGTCTGTCTGTCTCTGTCTCTGTCTCTCTGTCTCTATCTCTGTCTCTGTCTCTCTATCTACCTCTCTCTCTCTCTCTCAGCGTTGAAGATTGAATTCAGAGTCTTTGCACTGAGATGTACCCCTAAGCCCCTTTATTTATTAGTTTGTGACAGGGTCCCACTAAGTCACTAAGTTGCAGTTGAAGTTGTGATCTTCCTGCTTCCTAGAGTGTAGATGATTTTTCTGAGTTATATCAGCCACGGCCTTTTAGCCTGCAGGACTGAGTACATGAGTTGTGGGGCCAAGAGCAAACTGACAATGTAAGTCTCCTACTAAGTACATGTTTACAGTACATATTGATTACATTCATCATGGGAAATGTATACATGTATATAACACATCTTCATTCTTTTTCTTTGTCCCCTTTCCTCCCGTCCCTCCAACTCTTCTCCCCTCCACATTTACAAAAGTTCTATTTACATTTTTTCCTTCAAATCACTTTTCCCTTTCTTTCTTCCCCTCCTCCATCTCTTATTCCTCTTCCCATTTGCAAAAGTTCTTCCTACTTCTTAATAATTATCCTCCTTATTTATACTTTGAGTTTCTCACACAAGAAAAATAATGCAATACTTAAATTTCTGTATCTGATTTATGTCACTTAAGCTTACGGTTTCAAGATACATCTATTTACTTAAAAACATCTCAAGTCTATCTTTCTTTATGGCGGAGTAGTACTCTGTTGTATATAAATACCACATTTTCTTTATCCATTCATCTGTTGATGGGCATATAGGAGCTTCCAAGATTTAGCTATTATGAATTGTGCTTCTATAAACATAGGTATGCATGTATCACTGTAATATATCTGACTTTCAAGAAAATATCTAGAAGGGAACTAATTGGGTCGAATGGAAACTCTAATTTTAAGTTTTTGAGGAATCTCCACACTGCTTTCCATAGTAGTTGTACCTTTTTTTTAAAGGTCTAGAGCTCTGGAATCAGACAGATTTGATTCAAGTCATGACTGTGCTGGTTACTATGGGACCTGTGGCCAGCTACCTAGCCTTTCTGAACCTCACTTTCCACATCCACAAATCAGGGGACAACGTTAACCCTTGCAGGGATATTGTCCTGGTTAGGTAACATGACATTGCTTGAGAGCCTGGCACTTGGCATTTGAAAGCCATGTAGGGGGAAAGCAGGTTTTGCAGCAGAAAGGGTCCATTGCACAGCCGAGCACACCAATATCTTGAAAGGGAAACTGATCCCTGCTCCAAGTCTCTTCTCCAACTCAGAGGAGCCATCAGGATGCCTCAGGCTGCTGGACAATCTGACTGGGGTCATTTTCCTTGTGTCCCCTATCTGGATCCTGAGTCAATCATGAGTAGAAGTTGGGCAGCCACTAAACACACCTTTCCAGCCAGACTCTCTACTGGGTTTGGAAATGAATCCTCTTCAAGCAGCTTATGTTAAGATCCTTAGGAAGATCCTCACCCATGCTCAGTATGTGAAGAAAAATGAGGAATGTGGTTTGGTCCATTGCAAGCTCCACCATTACTTCTGGTTTGTGATGATGTGGTTTTTCTCCTTAGTTCACACCTGTTGCCCACATAGATGGGCAGAATTGAGCTCACCCAAACACAAGGATATTTTCTGGTTTGTCTGAAGCTCTTGGATGGCATTACAGAGAACTTCAGGACATGTGGGAGGGCCAAAATACACAGGTAGGGGACTCCTGCTTTTGGAAATAGAGCATCCTTGGCCGGGGATTTAGCTCAGTGGCATAAGTGTCTGCTTGGCAAGTGCAAAACCATGAGTTCAATCCCTGGTACCAAAAAAAAAAAAAAAGTAGAGCATCCCACCAAGGAAGCAAAAGGAATTGACCAACCCAAATGGCTTGGCTCCACCTGTGCAAGTGGCTCATTTATTAGAGTTCTTTGAAGAGGCAGATAGAGGCAGGAGCACCTCTGTCCCACTGAGTGACCAGATGGTAGCCTGAGGCCTGGACCATGACCCTAGAGACAGTGTGACATTTCAGAAGGAACATTATCTCTAGAAGCACACATGTCTACTTTTGGGCACTGCACCAGCCCCTCTTGCAAAAATCAGTGCTTCAGAGTGTTCCATTGCAGCAATAGTATCCACTGCAATTCAGTAATGAGTAAGCCAGCTGATCATTTGCAATGGATGAGCAGTTTTCATTGTAATTGCAATATATTGGAAAGGATCTAAATGTCTGTATGTAGGAGAGAGGTTGTATAACCTACAGTCCATCCACAGTGGAGTGCTGTGCAGCTGAACGAGTGAATGGAGAAGCGCTCTATGAACTGATATGAAGCAACTAGCAGCACACAGTAAGTGAGAAGAAAGTGAACCACCAAAGGACATTTATGGGATGAAGCTGCCCTAAATTGGATGATGTCAATAAGTAAGGAGAAATTCTGTAATTACTTCCTTCGACAAATCTTAACTAAAGCCCAAGAGGCATGGAGAGTGGCTAAAGCTAGAAAGAGTAACCTAGGATGGTCATTATTTTGTTTTTGTTTTGGCACTGGGTTTTGAATTCAGATCCTTCACACTGAGCTATACCCCCAGTGCTTGTAAGTTTCTTATTTTGAGATAGTGTCTCACTAAATCACTAAATTGCCCAGCTTTGGCTCAAACTTAATAATCCTCTTGCTTCAGGCTTCCAGAGTGCTGGGATTACAGGTGTGTGTCACCATACCCAGCCCATTTGGTCATTTTGCTTGAATAATGTTGATGTGGTTGCTTGTGTTCAGATAGGAGTACAAAGTGGCTTTGTTTTGTCTTGATCCACTATGGTCACAGAGTGGCCTTGTTTGAAGTCAAAATTCTGAGACATTGTTTACATTCAAGGAGAACACCAAGGCTGAGCTGTGAAGGCCAGCCCAGCTGGGAATAGCAATGAGGATCAGACCTAACTGATAATGCCAAACCAGTGTCCAGCTGTCATGGGTGTTTTTCTTTTTCAGTGGTACAACTGATGAAATCCAAAAAAGGTCTACAGATTGGTAAATAACACTTTATCAGTGTTGACTTTTTAGTGTTTATAGTTGTACTATAGTTATATAAGGAAAGTTGGGCAAAGGGATAGAGGAATTCTGTTTACTATTTTGGAACTTTATTCCAAAATAAAAGTCTTGCTAAAAAAAAAGAGCCCCCACTGCACACAGCATAAATGCAGCACCATGTGAAGAAGCTGGCTTGCATATTGGGACTGCACTGTGTAAAACAAAATTCATATTTCAAAATATCAAAACATTACCCATACAACAAGACAATCCTAATTACAAGAAACTCATGGAAACTGACTTAAATCCCAAGGAGGATTCAGGTGCCAATTTGAGATGCACTCTGAGGTAATGCTCATTGATTCGAAGGATGCCTGCACCATTTCCATCATTACGGCTCTTCTCTCCCTCTCTTTTATTTACTTTACTCAAGTGAATGTGCCCACACTGGGGCCACAGCTGCTCCTACCTTGGAAGGTGGAACAGACCTGGGGCTTCCCCACACTCAGTTCTCATGTCTTCCCTTTGACCCACAAACACAGTGGATCTCGTAGAGCAGGTACTGAACACAGTCTGAAGTCCACTCACTCTCATCTTCTCATCCTGCCATGCCCACCTGCTTCCATTTAGCTGAGTGCATATTTCTGCTTCCTTGCTCCTACTTAGAGCTTCATTCTGAAAACTCATACTTCTTAAATTTTTAAAAAAAATTTATTAGTATATATTTGCAATACATAATGATTATGTTCATCATGGGAAATGGGTACATGTACATAACACATCTTATTTCTTTTTATGTGTTCTTCCTGAAAAATCATTCTTTGAGGAGAATTGCGTGAAATGTGAGTTAAAATAACAAATATTTTAATATTTTACTTTTTAATGATCCTACCCAAGGCAGGCAAAAATTCAGGAAAAGACGCAAGTCATGGAAACTCAGTGAGAACATAATCCTATTGAAGAGCAATTTGGCAAAGTTCA